CTGTTACAACTGTTACACCTGTACCAGGTGGTTAAGAAAAATCGGAGTTGTAACAGTGTATGAAGTTAGGAAAATTTAGGGCTATGTTAAGGAGGAACACAGGTAACAGTGCTTGTTTCAGGTCTTAGACACACGGTGCTTTCAGTGGAGGATTATTATTATTTTCGTACATTTATTAATTAAGAAAACACCCAAGAAATAAAACTTTTACCTTTTAGTTAAATTTAGAAAGCTTATGGCTTTGTTTTTCACTGACTGTCTACTTTGTTTTTTCTCAAAAAATTACGTAATATATTTATTAAATATTTCATTCACAAAGATCTAATTTGTGATTTAAGCACGATCAGTTTTTGAGCAGTATATTTCAGACCTCTACTGGCCTGTATGGTTTACAGTAGTTGGTATTCTTCTTCTGTCGACCTTTGGGTTCTTGCCATAATTACATAACATATTCAGAGCCAAAGAAAACAACACACTCAGTGTGTGAAAAGTTTAAACCGCCCAGTAGGTTAAAGGCATTGGCACCTTATCTTGAAACCCGACTCCTAAGTTGGTTTGGAATGTGGGAAGAATAATGAGAACTTTAAAGAAAAATTATTTAAAATGATACAGTTAACAAAAGATATCGGTGTGCCTTTTATTCGAATGGATTGCTTTTATGTATATACACTGCCTTAAGAGAATAGTGATTAATTGTTTAAAATGTATTTTTTTTAAAAAGGGGGAAAGCAAGTTGAACTGAACAAGGGGAAGTTAAAGTAACAGAGTCGTTTGTTAGTCATTAAATGCTGCCCAATAATTAATCTCTATACAACAATTTGTTTGCAGGTTTGTGTATTCCTGCTATTACATTGAGGCCGACAGTTGAGCAAACTTCTTGGCTAGCGCCCCCCAAATTGCTATTTGTGTGCATTAGTCTTTTGCATCATCCAGCTGTATTGAAACACTCAAATGGGAATGAATGGGTTGTTAATACTGCAAATTTGTTTCCCATAACATTTGGATTTAACCAATAATATTTAGAACTGGCACATATACTTAACATGTTTATGTTACATTTAGATTTACATTAAAAAGTCTGCAAATATCTGTGACTTGAAAAGTAATATCAAAGCATACTTTTAAGAAGTTTGGAGCTAAATGTGATACATTTTGAAGTTGTTTTCAGCATGCTTCAATTTACAATCAGCTCCATAGTAACCAGCTGGAAGAGCTCAACCTCCTGACTTGTTATTTACATTGGAATTCCCAAGAGGTCCTCAGTCTTATGTAACATGGTTGGGGCCTCCACTGAGGAGCTTATGTCCACACTTCATTTGTTCCTATGCTAGTTACACAAAAACTAGCAGCCATCATGAAAGTTAGAGGTGGAATATATGAAAAAAGTAAATTTGGTACAGATCTTTTTATCGTTACTTTCCAAGCCATGTGTGAAAAGAAAAGTCTTTTGTTCTTTTTTTAACATAATTTTAAGTTGTCAGTGCCACCAGCTAGCCATGCAAGAAATGTTTTCACTGGAGTTGACTTAAAAACAACGGAAGTTGCAAAAGTCTCTGATAAAAATACAGACTGCTGAAAAATTAAAGGAAAAACGTGAACCCTTGACTCCTTGTCCTAGGTGGTAAGTTTCTACAAGTTTCTTGCATTGCTTCATTAAGTAAAGTACTTAATACTCTGACAGTGTAGCGGCATCTACACTTTTAGCTCTATACTACGTACAAAATGGCTGAGTCGAATTAAAGTCATGTCAGTTTTAATTCAGTTTTATTATAGCATCAATTTACAATAAGTTATCTCAAGTCATAAAAGGTAAAGACACTTGCAAATCAAATCAGAATTTGTCAGTTGCTTTAATAAAGTTGGTTTTCTGCTTCTATTACACTTACACTTACACTAAAGAGAGAGAGAGAGAGATAACATTCTCTGCAGACATGAAATGCGGGAGAGAGTATAACGGTGCAGCGATTAAGGATGCCGTGCAGGGGCGTCTGCCCTCCCTGCACGGCATCCTTAATCACGCCCGCGGAGTTATAAACACGGGGACTCAGGGGTATGGGGCGCCGTTTATAAAGTGAAACATGCTGAAATTAAAGGCAACATTTTTCCACATTTAGCTCAAAACCTTACAAAAACATATTTTTTCGAGTAAATTTTTACAACATTTAGTAAAATATTTGTAATTTTTCATCAAATGTTAAATATTAAATCTAAATGTTAAATGTTAAATCTAAATGTTAAATATTAAATCTAAATATTATATTTAAATCTAAATGTTAAATGTTAAATCTAAATGTTAAATATTAAATCTAAATATTATATTTAAATCTAAATGTTAAATGTTAAATCTAAATGTTAAATTAAATGTTAAATCTAAATGCTAAATGTTAAATGTTAAACCTAAATGTTTAGGCTAATATGCAAATGTATTGTACGGATCAACGGAAATACCAAAATAAAAGCTTCCCGAAAACCTCCGGTGCAAAATTGTGTCTGTTCTCTTCCTCGCTTCTCCCCGCCATGTGCTGCTTCACTTCTTGCCTACGAGCATGTCCAGCGATTTTGCTGGACATGTGCTGCAGCTGCTAAGAGTGCACTACTGCTAAACCTTTGGATGGCCGACAAAACGGATCTTCCGATGTTTTCAGCTAAATCGCCGGACGTGCTTTCTCATGTTCGGGTTATGGCTGAATTCCAGTGGAATGACATTCCAGCCATGTGTTCCAGCCCTAAACCTAACCTTATCTAACTATAACCTTATTCCTAACCTTTACTAGCAGTTAAATGACGTAAAATAGTGTTTTCCAAATCGATTTTTAGAAAATGAACGAACGTGTAGATTGAGTCCAAACGGTTCTCACGTGCTCTCCTTTTTCCGATGCCGTAATTTAGGAACGTGTTGGGTACCCGAAAGCATAAAATGTTGACAATTTGTCACCTAGCGAAAATTATTACGCTTTGGGAGTGAGAACGTGTCTGACCACTACCGGCACACTTTTGCACCGGAGGTTTTCGGAAAGCTTTTATTTTGGTATTTCCGCTGATCCGTGCAATAAATTTGCATGTTAGCCTAAACATTTAGATTTAACATTTAACATTTAGATTTAGATTTAAATATAATATTTAGATTTAACATTTAGATTTAAATATAATATTTAGATTTAACATTTAGATTTAAATAAATTTAGATTTAACATTTAATTTAGATTTAAATATAATATTTAGATTTAACATTTAACATTTAGATTTAAATATCCATTTAGATTTAACATT